TGGGTCACCGACCCAGGACCATGACAGTTGAGTTCAATTCAGTTTTACTTTCATATGAAAGTCGCTTAAATCAGCTTCTGTGAGTTGTTTGGTACCGGGCCGCGAGAGATGAGGCTCAGGTGTGAAATTTATGGTTTTCAGGGTTTTTATCGTTAACTCGGTTTCCCTGGGTCTTTTCCCATGTTGTAGTTTTGTGTCTTACTTTGAAAGAAACATTTACGCGTTACCATAGCGACCAGAGAGCATTAAGGGGCAGAGAGGAGGATGTTACTCTCAATGTTGTTGGTGCATCTCAGGAGGGCGCTGCTAATAAAGTTACACAACCACACAGTGAATTTGCGTTTATTGTTATATTTACAATATACCACAGTTTTTGTCTTGGTCGTATCATTTATTTGTTGTATTTATCCTTGACACCTTAAAGGCCGGTCCGTGAAAATATTGTCTGACATTAAACCGGTCTGTGGAACAAAAAAGGTTGGGGACCGCTGGCTTAAATCACCTTTCTTCCCCATTCTGATGCTGGGTTTGAAATTTAGCCGTCGTGTTGACTAAAGTCAACACTGAAGTCAACACAACCTGTTTGAACACATCTGTTCACAATTTGTTATTCACTTTAGTGCTGATTTTACCTGTTGTCAAGTTCTGCTTTGCAATTTTAACTTATTTTATGTATTTTATGACTATTGCTTCTTTTATGAAATTTGCCCTTGTGGAACTAATAAAGGTATCTTATCTTATCTTATCTTATTAATGTTGTTCTTTTGTAAGGTGACCTTGGGATTTTGAAAGGCACCCTCAAATAAAATGTATTATTATTATTATTATTATTATTAAAGTCAGAGAATTGCTGCCATGCGATGTTGATGAGCAGGTAACGAGCAGTAGAATAGGCTTACCCAATGAAGCGAGTGTATTTCCAATATTTAAGGAGAAGAGCAGTTACTATTAGCAGACTTCTGTTACAGTATATTATATGTGTACAAATGAAGCACTACTTGTCGGTTGAGCACCAAAGTAAAGGAGTGTACAGCAGAGAGGTGGCCAACTCTGCACTCCATGCCAGTTGCAATTACTGCTATCATTTTAGCTCCAGTGGTTAGAGCTCATTAGAAATCAGCGACAAGCCATTGTCGGGACCTTCATTAAAAATTCCTTGCAATAGCTCTAATGAAAGTAAACAATGACATCTGCACATGAACTTGCCAATCAGTCTGACACAAAGACAGAGGCAGGAATTCAAAATCCCAGCAGGGCTCAAAACAGGTATGTGTGTGTGTGTGCTGTAACAAAAGGGAAAAAACAGTATTTCTATGTTAGTTCTGCTGCCCTCGGCCTCTCCACTGCTCAAAATGCTCAAAACGTTGAATATTTTCCTACCAGTGAATATTTTTCATGTCCCAGGTCTTTCTTAAGCCATGCCTCAGATTTGTTGAAAGGAAAACAGATTTTCCACCTTTCCCTGGAATATCAAGAGTATCAGGAGGGACTTCTCTCCCAATCCTAATTTTCCAGGTTTTAGGACTGTGTACATCCTGCATGTTGATGCTTCTCATTTTGACCTTCAGCCCGTCTGTCTTTGTCTTTCTTCAGGACCCCTCAGTACAAAAGGTGGGCGGAGGCAGGAAGAAGACGGTGTCCTTCAGTAGCATGCCCTCTGAAAAGAAGGTAAACTGGAAATAAATGATCAAAATCAGTTTCACATAGATTAAGCAGAATCTTAAAGGGAATTCTGATTATCTCCAGGGAAGTTACATTACAGTTACATTAGGGAAAACAATGCCTGGTGACTGCAGTCAACTTGTGATCTCCTTGCCTGACCACTCAGTCCAGTCACTGTCTTCACATTTACTTGTGCCAAGACCACGATAAAACAGGGATTATACAGCAATCAGACAGTCAGATGGCTATTGGTTTTCTCTTGAACTGGCTCAAGTAGGCACTTATATGCCACGTGTTTGCAATAATGGTGATAAATATCACATCTATTGCCGTCTACATGAGACACATGGTGCTGTACCAGAACCAAAGGCGGGTTGCCACTAGTAACTCTCAGCCACACACTGGGCCATAAATTTGCTGGTGTTGCAACTGATGTTGTAGCTGTTATGGTGAGCCAATAGAAGGAAGCAGCGACACTCCTCTGTGAAAACATCAAAACTAACCTGGCTGTCGTCAACTGCATCACACACAGTTAGAAGATGTTACTGTAGATGAATGAAAATGAAAAAAGATGTGTCTCCCTGTAAGGAGACTTACAGATGTGGGTACCATTTAAAAAGAAAAAAAGGGGTGGGGGGGGTATAGAAAGCATATGATAGAGTACCAACTGTAGTACTGCTGAATAAATCCAGGAGGCAGGGATGTATGTGAGGGTCGAGGCTCCCTCGATGGAGCTGGGAGGCAGGAGGAAAAAGGAAGACAACAGACGAAGTTCATAGATGAGACACATGGCCCAGTAGAGGACATCATGAAGTCTTTTTTTGATTGTCTGGTCACAGACTTTCAAACCAGTGTCCTGCTGGAGGCCATTTCAGTAGGGAGAGGTCATTACAAAGAATGAACATGATTTATTAAGAGACAGAGTATAGATAGGTGTTTGGCCCATCTCAGGGGAACAGAACCCCAGCTGTGAAAGGGATTAAAGCAGGGAGAGCAAGGCTGGGAGAAGGTGATTGGACACAAACAACTTTACAGCGTGGGAAAGTGGGACTGATAAGGCTTAGATTTAGCTGGCAGCACCTGGGAGCGGACAGATGTGAGACCTTATTGAACTTAGCTCAGGCGGTGATCTTCCTGTTCCTCCTTGTACAAAGCAGCTGATACTGGTGCTGCTGATACGTCCATAACCCTTGAGGAGGACCAGTCTCCTATCTGTCCAGCTCTCCTAGAGTAACTGGCTGCCTCCTACTATATCCTCCATGCTCTTTTGACTGTGCTAGGAGACACAGCAAACCTGCCAACGGCACATAAGGAGAAAGGAGCTGCAACCTCTGTAGGGTCGAGGTATGGCCTCATTCTACCAGTAGCAAAACTAACCCAGCTAAATGCAAAACCAGTGAAGAAACATAAAAGTCGAGGGGGAATAAATGTCAGCTGTCTCCACCTGTAAAACCATTCCTGTTCTGCGTCCTTGTTGCCTCTGTAGTGCATCAGTTCTTAATTTCATCAACACCAAAGCATCTGAAACTGATTAACAATTTCTTCCTTTTCCTTACCAGATTAATATCCGACACAGAGACATTAATAGGACATATTCCAATAAATTGAAAGTATATTTTGTCTGGAATAAAGAAAATTTGCGTGTGGACAGTAACGTGTTTTTGGTGATTTTAATTTCCAGGTCAGCAGTGCAGCCGACTGTTTGGCGTTCATGCAGGGAGGGTGTGAACTGAAGAAGATCCGGCCCAATTCTAGGGTTTACTGTCGTTTTTACACACTGGATCCAGACTTGAGCTGCTTACGCTGGGAGCCATCCAAGAAAGATGGAGACCGGGCTCGGCTTGACGTTTCCAGCATTCGTGAGGTCCGCACTGGGAAGAGCACCGAGACCTTCCTCCACAATGGCCCTCTCTCCGAACATCTGGCTGAAGAAGCAGCCTTCTCTATCATACATGGAGATGACTACCAGGTAAGAATGGAAAAAGAAATGTGTGTCAGCAGAAGAATAGTGTCAAAACATCTGTGTATAAACATATAAATGAAGAAAATCACTAGTGTACACCCAGCCATTAAACCAGTTATCCATGTTTCCCTACAGTCTCTAGACTTGGTGGCATTGTCAGCTGATGTGGCCAACATCTGGGTAACAGGTCTTCGTTACCTGCTGGCTCATCCTTCCATCGTAGGAGGGGCTGGGGGAGGTGTAGCAGGAGGAGGACCGGGTGAAGGAGGGGGGGTGGCCGTTGAAGGAAGCCTGGGAAGCAAGATGAGGAGTGAGTGGCTGACAGCAGAGTTTGCCCAGGTCGATGAAGATGGTTACGGGATCGTGTCAGAGGACGTAGCAGTCGCCACCATCTGTAAACTGTGCCCTGGTATCAAGGAGGCCAAGGTGACAAATATGTAATACCACAGAAACTTGACTTGCAGTATTAGATATGAAGCATCACCAGTGCATAAATGTATTCTTATCTGAAGCTGTATTTTCTTCGACTTAAGAGTAACAGTAAGCACCAGCTAGACAGACAGAGTTAGAGACTGCCTTCAGACATTATCAGAGCAGCACAAGAGCCAGATTTCCTTTGGAAGTTGGTGGAGACCAAAAACCCAGCAAAAAGAGAGGATTATTTTGGTTCTATAATCAAGGATATGATATCAGATGACTGCTAATATTGCTCCATAACTGTTGGCTATACTATTAGGAAAGTGAGGGTCAAAACTGTAGAAAAACCACAGCTGCTGTTCACTGAAACTGAAACTCTACTGTGTTTGTGTTGCACATTAAATCTGCAGAATTAAACAGAAAATAAGGAGCCTGATGATATTTAAATCTTTGAACAGAGAAAGTTGAGAAGGAGGCTGTCACACAAAGCTTACTGACTCAGAAATAAGTGGAACTTTTGAGTTCTGTCATAACGATTTGCTCTAGGTTTTATACCCATAATGCTATTCCCCAGAGCTGCTGAGATATTGTGCATTAACAGAACTTACACATTGTAAAAAACAGCATCATCATTTAAGCTCTTTGCAATCAGGACTGGATTTCAGAACGACATATTCAGCTACAATCACAGCTAAGTGATGTGTTTCCAAATAACATTGATTGGAGCAATAGGACATTTAATCCCTCTTGATGAGGGATTTGTGGCTTTCTGCTTTTCTCTTTTGGATTGCTGTTGCCTCACGCAGGACCGCTCCTTCTCCCTTTTCCTGCCTTATTTTGCTTACACACAGACTAAGCTAGGAAACTTAGAGAATATAAATGTCTGCACTAGCACACATGGGCGAGAACACAGAAGATACATAAAGGAGAATTCAGAGTAGACAGAAACGATGGCTACATTGTGTTATATAATTGAATGTGGCTCGCTTTAATATCCTTAATGAAAAAAGACAAGTAAAATGTAATCCTCTTTGCCAACTTCACTGAATGAATGAGGCATAATAACTGAAGTTCTTGCTTAATTAACCTTCCACACTTTCCTATTTTCATCCACTTCCGCTTTGTTTTTCCTCAGGTGCGTCTCCGTTTCAAGGAGATCCAGCGCAGCAAGGAAAAGCTGACCTCCCACGTGACACGTGAGGAATTTGAGGAAGCCTTCTGCGAGCTTTGCACACGGCCAGATGTCTACTTCCTAATGGTGCAACTGTCCAAAGACCGCGAGTGTCTGGACCCTCAGGACCTCCGGCTCTTCTTGGAGACAGAGCAGGGTTTGTCTCTGGCTACCACTGAGGGCTGCTGGGAACTACTGAGGCGTTATGAGCCCTCTGCCCAAGGCAAGGAGAGAGGGCTGCTGGGTCTGGATGGATTTGCCCGCTACCTGCAGTCTCCGGAATGCCAGCTGCTTGACCCAGAACAGCTAGGGGTTTGCCAGGATATGAACATGCCTCTGTCCCACTACTACATCAGGTGAGTCAAACAGATCAACTTGACATCTTTTAAAAAAACAAACAAAATTAAAAGGGTTCTTTTTCTGAACCAGTTAAAGAAAAAACTAGGAGTGCACAAACAAACCAAAAATCACACCAGAAATGATTTCTACACCAGAAAATGAGGTGAGCTGTCAAATGTACTGTATATATAAGTATAGTTATGCAAAGCCCCTGCAAATCTGATGGGCTAAGAGTACATCTCAACACCAAACAAATACCACAAGGAACACGTTTTAGTTACAGGTGCCCAAAACATTTCAACATTACTCTGTCCAGTGTAAAACTCGCAGCTGTCATGGTTCTGGGTCTTTTACATTGAAGTATTCTGTTTGATTCACTTTTACTTCATGTGTTTCTTTAGTATTGTGAATCTTTAGTGCTTAGTTCCAGCTTCTGTTTTTATTAGAGGTGATGTAATTCTGTCTGTTTCCTGTTTTACAAAGTCTTACTTGCAGTGTGCTCAGTTTGAATTGTGTTCAGCTTTAAGGTCAGTTGTGTCATGCTCCTAGTGTGTTCCAGTGCTTTCTTGATTGTAATTAGTTTTTGTGTTCTGGATGTTACAGCCGATGAAGACTCGATGAATTAGCATGTTGTCACAATTTCAGTGGGATTGCAGGTGATTTTCTACTGGAAATGTACATTGCCATTACAGGTCAAAACACCTGGTGAGGAAGCAAGTAAACATTACTTTAAGGCCAAGGGGCTTACATACTTGCTATATGTTTTTGTGGAATTACATATTTGTTATGTTTTTTGACAAATGAAACAAGTGTCCCCACCTCTGAGGTGAAGCTAGTCAGAGTGTATAAAATGAGCAGCCAGTCTGAAGATCTAGAAATGGCCTTTAATAACGCCATAGAGCAAAATGTGCGTTGTAAAAATGTTGTAGACTGCATATTTTAACACATTATCATGTATACTACTTTAAATTTTCATTTAAAAACAGTTAAAGCCACATTGTTACACTATTACATCATGTCTGAATTAATTCAGGGACTGGTTGCTTTTTCAAGGCTGGCTGCTGTAACGTGGGTTGTATTCAGTGGTTGAGAGGAGGAGGCAGAAAACTCAGCAGGACAGTCAAAAACTCACAATGACACTGGTACTGGGAATTCCACAGTGCTTGTCCTTCAATAAACACACTCTTCACCAACCTCACAAGGCCCGGTTGCTGCTGTCGAGTGGAAACACTACCCCAGCTTGCATCCTACATCCTGCTACCATGTGCTGGATATTTCTGGGCACCTTTGCACAACCTGCAACTTGGGTCCTGTTGGCTGTGGTAGACTCCTGCTTCTGTGGATCAGGTGCTCTGCCTTTTCTAGCCACTGGTAGAATTTATTGATGTCAGGCACTTCCTTTGTCTGTCGATGGTACATCCCATGCAGGGGATTGGTCATTCCTCTTCCTCTTTCTCATCACCCTCTGTTTTCAGTTGCCTGAGGCACTCTTGGAATGGCTCATCTTAGGGGTGATGTATTTGTGGATGTTTCATGTTTCGGCTCTAATCCATGCTCTTGGGGTCTTGGACTTTGTGTGGAGACCTCTGTAAGGAGTTCTTTTGAGGAAATAGATGCCACTGATGGCATCCATCTCCTCCTCTGCCTCCTTGGCTCTTATTTCTACCATTCAGCTAGCTTTCCAGCACCTGTCTTTCCTTCTGGAGGTATTTGGCTGTGCTGACCTTGCACCTTCATCATGCTTCCCGTGGGTCTGTGAGACACCCAGGTACTTGTAGCTCTCCTGTATGTCTACTAGTCTTCTTATGGATAGCTCCAACCCTTTACCTTCCCTCTATTTGCATCCATTCAGCTACACTTATCCAGTCCAACACTGCACTTGCTAAGCGTCCCAGTAATGGAGTAGCGTTAACGCTCTGCCTGTTAAGCCTTTAGAAAGTTTATTGATTTCTGTATATTTTTCCCTCTTGCCTATATTTTTCAAGAAAAAGATCATTGAACCTTGAATTAAATGTTAGTAATATTAAAATGACACATGATTTGTGTTGCTGAATGATTTATTGTTGATTTGATTTTCACCCTCAGCACCTCATACCGCTCCTACCTGTTGGATGACCAGGTCCATGGAAGAGCAGATCTTGGAGGACTGATCAAGGCCTTGCAGTCTGGTTGCAGATGCCTGGAGTTGGGAGTAACTGATGGCCCAGAGGGGGAGCCTTTGCTCGGGGTCGACTGTGGGCCTGATATCCCACGGCACCATCATCATCACCACCATCACCACCACCATTCACCAGTCACTATCCGCTCTGCTCTGGAGGTGGTCAATAAATACGCCTTCCTGACCTCTCAGTACCCTCTTTTGTTGTACCTGTGTCACCGTTGCTCCCCAGACCAGCAGCACACCATGGCACAGCACTTGAGGAAGGTGTTCGGATCACGTCTTTACACTCCAGAAGCCCTGCCGGTCAGCCTGGGAGGACGAGCTACAACCTTACCCTCGCCTGAACAACTTAAGGGACGCATTGTTATAGTGGGGAAGAAACTCCCTCCAGACCATGAAGGCTGTGATGGGGAAGTGTCTGAGGAAGATGAGGAGATAGGCGGAGGTGGACCTCTGGCAGGAAGAAGAATGACAATACCTGGTGAGGAGGAACTGGGTGTGGTCTTGGTGGTGCCTCCACCCTCTCAACCTAGGAAGCTCCGTCTCCACAAAGAGCTGTCAGACCTGGTGGCTATTGCTCGAACTGGAAGTCGTAGCTTCTATGCCCAGCGAGCCAGTCACAAGCAGGCTCAGCAGCAGACTCCCCCCAGTAGTCCATCCTCTCCCAGCACACCGGTGGCTCCCGAGCTGCCTTACTGGACACTGTGCTCTTTAGGCGAAGGAGAAGCTGGACGGCTGACCAGTGAAAGCCCAGAGGACCTTGTTATGTTTACCAAGCGCACCCTAACCAGAGTACGACCCAGCTCCGTGCGTCTGGACTCCAGCAACCCTAACCCACAAGGGTACTGGAAAGGAGGAGTCCAACTTGTGGCCTTGAATCAACAGACCCCTGGCGCAATGTTGGACCTTCACCGAGGCCGCTTCACACAGAACGGAGGCTGTGGTTATGTTCTCCGACCTGCCGTGATGCGGGATGAAGTGTCGTATTTCAGTGCCCACACGCAGGGCTGCGTGCCAGGTGTCCCACCTCAGACCCTTCGTATTAAGGTCTAGATGTTACTCTGTTTTTCCCCAACATTACATTTTTCACTCTGTCGCACTAACCCTCTGAGGTGATGAGGTGACTCTAACCCGTGGCAATCGGAATATGTACTTTTGCTTTCTATTCGATCGGTCATTCAGTATCCTGTGTTAGCCCTGCATTAGTGTGTACCCTGCCTCTCGTCCTATGGTAGCTGGAATGCAGGCAGTTAGTGGGGTTACGTTTGTTGATGATCCTAAATTGCCCATAGGAGCAATGTTTGCCACAAGCAAAACCCTTTTTTTGTGAGCATTGTAACAGAGATTAAATTAAAATAAACTAGGTTACATTACATTGTTCAACCCTCTAAATCAGGGGTCTCAAATTTCAAAGAGCTGTGGGACACCGATGGCACTGTCATCATCATGTGAGAGCCACTTTAGTGTTCAAGTAGTACAAAAAAAAACAAGCAAACAAAGAAGACATCCACAAATATTTCTGAAAATGCAGTGTTTTGTTTGTTTTTTTGTAAGTTTCAGATTTCTATAACAAGACAAAACTGCAAACGTGAACGCATTTTTTCTTCTCACTCTCAACTGAAGCCTTTCATTGAACTACCAGATAAACAAATTGATACCCTCTTTCTGGCCAGACACGTGGCAGCACTATAATTATATAATTATAATTTTGTTTGTATTTAACAAAATAAAAATGCAGACATAAGTGTACACATTAGTTTGTGACTGCTGGTGAAAACTGTTTTCTCTACAAATAACTAACAACAAGTTTGTGCTGCCTTCACATTAAATCATTTTTTGCTTTTTAAAGAACTTATTTTAACATTGGACTCAACAACAAACAAATCCTCCCTCACAGAAAATGTCACTTCAAGGGCCAAATTGCATTATATTTCTTCAGGTCAATATACAAGCAGGGGTGACGTGGCCCCTGGCCGTGAGTTTGAGACCCCTGCTCTAAATACACTAAAATGCAAAAGTGTAAAACTAATTAACATAAGCTGCTTGTGTTTTACTCTGCAGATTATCAGTGCCCATAACCTACCCAAGCCCCAGGGTTCAGGGGCTAAAGGAGAGGTTATTGACCCATATGTGGTTCTGGAGCTGCATGGAGTACCAGCTGACTGTGCTGAGCAGCGGACTCGCACTGCTGCTCAGAACCAGGATGACCCACTGTTTGATGAGACGTTCGAGTTTCAAGTAAGTTATGTTACCGCATTATGAAACTGGCTGAAATGTTTGCTGCTGCTCTGTATTTATTACATTTTTTGGGAATATAATAGGGGTGAGCAGCTTCATTAATAACAGTCAACAATGTTATATCTAATTCATGTTATTAAGATCATTAATAGATAGTTCCCATTTACCTACCAACTGCATTTACCTCTTGATGTGAATCAGCTGCATTTTAACCTAAACTTCATGTTTCCTCTGGGTAACTTTCTGTTGTCCAAACAATGTCTCGATAGTAGGTATCTAGGCTAAAATTGGGATTCTTTAATTTAATTGACATCTAAACACATTTACACAGCCATACTTAAAGCAAAAAGTCAGCATTTCCAGGCTGGCATTGCATCCATGACTGGCAGTTTAGTGCTTAAAACGATTACCTGCTGTTTGGAAATGGATGTTATTCACTTCGTCATATGGCTTACACTTTCAACCAGGCAATTTTTTTTTACCATGATGAAGCAGCATGACCTGTGGGACATCTGTGCCTAAAAAAATGAAGCCGATGCAAAACAGCGACAAAATCCTGATATCCCTCTAATGATGTTGGTAAAGTTGTCTTTTCAGTTAGTTTTTGCTGGGTGGAATAAAAATTATACAGTTGGAGTGACCTTTTCACTGATATTTTAAAAAGATTTTGGTGCACCATTAGGATAACAGCCCTTCTCCCAGGTCACATTATTTGAGTATATTGAGAGTTGCACACCATTGACTATACAGCAAACACTGAGAAAGCCATAGTTTAAGCCATTTACATAACCGCTTCAGCTCCTTATAATAATCCTGCTTATAGACTGCATAATATTATTTTGATTTTGTAGAGAAGATTATTTGGGTTGGTTTTTCCTAAAAAAAGAAAGTAAGCCTGGAGACGTTTAATGGAGTGCAGGATGCTTCTGAGGTTTCAGTTCAGTGAGATTACAGTGTGAAAGAAAAGGAGTTTGAAGCATGACATGATCAAGAATCATCCACTAATCTGGTCCTGTCCAGACTCCGATTTTATTGCATAAAGTTGCATTTTAATGTGCGATGTGGTGTGTCCTAGATTATGCATTGATATGAAGAGGAAAATGTCAACAATGTAAAGGAGTCTCATATAATTTCAGAGAGGTTTATGTCTGTTCTTATTTGGACTGCACCTGCTTAAAACTAAAGTCCAGAGTGCTTAATTGGAGGAGAGTCAAGATCAAGATATAAATGAGATAATATTATGCATTATGCACTTATGCATGCAGTGAATTTATCATGGGAGATGGTACTTGATGACTGACTGATGGCGCTTTTTTGGTACCTTTTGCTGACAGCGGCTTGCATTACTGTGTCTGAGCTATAATCATAAGCTGTTGCCACGGATATGTGCTCTGCAATCACACGATATACACATGTGTATGTAGCTCCCTGCAGACATAATGTATGTCCTCAAGGACTGAAAAAGAAGGATATAATACCTGTAATCAAGAGACAGCTTCAGTTTTTTTCTTTGCTGTTTACAGTGAGCTGACAGATAAATGGTGAGTATATCAACATCTATATACCAGGTCTTCAGCTGGACTTTATTTATCATAAATATCGACAGACAATTTAGGATTCAGTAACAAGTCTTTAATTAAGGGAAATCACCATGCCGACACGGCTACACATCGGTGTCAAGTTAGCTTAGATTCAGGTCTTCAGATTCAGGAGTCAAATGAAGCCCCCTCCTACACTGACACTGGTGAGAGTGTAAGTGTTGCTTTGTTTTTGCAAACAAAATATGTTGCTATGGTTGCTAAATGAAGCAAAAGGTTAACCAGAATTGTTAGAGAAAACCACTTCCCCATGTCCTCATGTGCTGCCAAGAACAGTAAAGCAGCGACTACTCTTAGCTCAACTGCAATTTGCCTTTAATTTTGCCATCTAAAATTGTTATATGTCATATCTATAATAGAAAAATGCAGCATTATGAAGCCTTAGTGTTCTTAAGCCTGAATTGAGCTATTTTTGAATCTTCTGCATACTCATATCTGCATTTCATGGCCAGGTGAGACAAAAGTCTGACTCCAGTGTTAACTCAGTTTTGTTACTACATTTTAGTTAAGTGCTGCATGTGTACTACGACATACCTACAACGCCAGTATCAGTGTCTTACCACACACTAACCTGATCTTGTCTAAAATCCTGTGAGTCGGCTTGTTTGGATTGATTTTTTATATATTCCTTTTCTCACGGTTTTCTTGATGAAATGACAGTGTTCACAAAAACATGAACAAACTGAAATAAATAGAGGAGATGCCATACTTATCTGGGCCAGTATTGCCATGATAAGCCTATTGTTGCCAGCTGATTTTGACAGTGAATGACAGATAAGGTGGTTTAAACCACCTAAGGGAAACAAAAGTAGGAAAAGGAGCCCGTTAGAGAGTCACGCCAGGCAAACAGTGTCGAAAATCATCTTATCTGGTGCCCGCATGGATCACGCCTGACCGTAGAAACAAGCTGTATGTTTGCAAAATGTGTTGGGGAATGTTGATCTGGTGCTGGATTCTGAAATGTCCAAATAGTTGCTTGACTCTGTTTTGAGCAGTTCTTTTATTTGTCTGATTTGTCCATGTAGCAACTGTCAAAATGTTTGCTAAAAACTGCAGTCAGCTGGTTTGAATAATGTTGGAATAGCGTTTGACATGTTACACCGTAGCTGTCTGTAAAACCAGAGCTGGGCAATGAAATAAAGCTGTACTTGAGATTACATTCTTTCTTGATTTTTCTTGCTTTCTATCCACGATGAAATTACTCACAGCAGTAGTGGCTTCTCCCTTTTTGTCATCACTGCTAAAGACTTTATTGGATTTGTCACTGGACAAAACTGACCAGGGACTCTATGCTTACAGTGTACACTGCCAGAGTCTTTAGTCTCATTAGCATTAGAGACTGTAACCCAAAACTAAGCAAGGAACTGAAGGGCAGTGCGCCATGTAACACACATAAGAAATTCAGGACCCCACTAACACGCAAGCTGGCCTTCAAGAGCAGCAGCTCACAATCAGACACAGTTGATTTCATGGTGTGTGGTTAAGTGTGGTGTCAGCCCTTTGCTCTCGTATGTCTTAATCAAAATTTCAGGCTGACACTCACCAGTCGTGAGGACTGGGGTGCGTTTCATTTGTCAGAAATGTATTTGTCAGAAATCCAACAAGTGAAAACATGTTGGTAGAAGCTTTTTAAAAAAAAAAAAAAAAATCTAAAAAGTCAAAACTTGAACCCTCTCATTTTAAAAAGTAGTAACATACAGTACATTGTTGTAGCTGTTTATAGCTAGCTAGCACCCAACTGTATATAAGTGACGTAAATTTCATTATCAGATGATGAGCACAAGGCTCTCAGCGTGCCCTGTTTTTGTGTTACTACACGCGCACCCTTCTGGAAAGTGGAATTCAAAGAAGTATAACATAAGCAACCATTTGTCCTTGGTGTCTGCATTTTAGCCACAAGCTAAGCATGCATTATTTGAGAAACTAGACAATTTCTATAAAATCAACCCACTGAAATTTATTCTCATAGGATGGCCAATGCAGGCAAAGTGAGTAACTCTATGTGAAGAGGCTCTAACAAAGCTGTAGACGTCATTTGCAGGGCTGGAAGAACCTCCTGTGGGGGCTGCTGTATCATTAGCTTTCTGTTAACCTTGTGAGGCTTAGGTCATCTGTTGAAATGTTACCCCCGATTACCAAGACTTGAGACTTACCCATACTTCATCCACCCATTCTCTTCCACTTATGCTTTTCATTGTCGTGGGGGCACTGGAGCCTATCCCGGGGTACACCCTGGTCAGGTCGCCAGTCTGTCGCAGGCTAACATATAGACAAAGACAACTATTTGCACTCACATTCACCTATGGGCAATTTAGAGTCTCCAGTTAACCTATACTCACTAGGTGCATGTCTTTGGACTGTGGGAGGGAGCCGGGTGGTGTTTCCCAACCACTGTGCAGCGGCACATAGGTGTGCTCTGGTTCCTCCTGACTTGTAATCTAAGCGATCAGGGTGAGTAACGGGCAGAACAATTACATTCTCTTCCACTAGAGGACAGTACAACTACCTGCTCTAATTAAATTGGTTGCCAACTGCCAGTAAAATAGTAGAAGACGAAGAAGAAATTACATAATAGTCATGCTGCGAGTGAGACAACGCAGCGCGTAATAGCAATAGATAAATATTTGAAAAGAAAAAGTAGTCAGTCTGACCTGGGTCCAGGAGAAAACGCCGACCCAGATGAAGGCCCTAGCATGAGTGGTGATCAGAAGAAAGCAAAAAAGGTATACTGGGGACAAACCGAGCCAGTTCTGCTTTACCTGGTGTTTGGGGGAAAATAATCAATATGCTTTTGTGACATTTTTGTTTGGTGTTGTGCCGTGTGATTTTTCTAATGTGAAATATGTGCTGTGGCTGAAAAAGGTTGGGAAACACTGATCTATGCTCCTGCCTTTTAAGACCCTGCACTCTTAAACTTAAACTTTTTTCTGATTGGCCAGCTTCCAGAAGCTTGCTGAGGGGCATACCTTATAAACCAACACTGCAAAGCACACACCTTACCCTCACCTCAACTCAATGCCTAATTTTTTCCCATGATTGTTATGAAAACATTGTAACATTATTTCAGCAGAAAATTAGAAAAAGTTTGTTCATTTCATTTAAAAACTATTTCCAGGCCTGAAATATGACTTATATGGTATAAAAAATCTAACTAAAAGAAATATGAATGCATTATTGCGAGCATAATGTAAGCATGGACACTGAGTCTTGAGTTGAGATACTGTCCTGTGTCTTATTGTATGGCTTTGAAGAAGAGCATTTGGTTTGAAACGGACTGAGTTAACTGTCAAAGCTCTGCTCTGCTCAGCCACAGGCATGCTGCTGAAAAATTGAGAAAGTTGAAATCAGAGCGAACGGGATTAGAGTCATCATTTCATGCACACGTGCATGCGCACACACATG